CCTTGGATAGCTTGGGGCAGGATACTTGTCTTTCTCTATTTAGTATCTGCAAGATTGGAATAACTCTACTTAATTGAGAGGGGTGTTAAACATATTAATTGCTTGTGTTTGCACAACTTCGAAGATGAAAATTGCTACTGAAGAGCTAAGTGTCGATTTGTATAAATAAGCAAAAACTTAACACCTGCACAAACCCAAAAAAACACCTCTCTCCAGATACAGCTGAGCATAGGATCAGAAAGTAACATTCTTTCATCCACTGCCATATCTCCACAGAAGACAGCAAGTTCTTCCCAGTCCTTACTGCCTGAAATCCTTCTTGCCACCCATTGATCCTGTGACTTACATTTCACAGTTTGTAAGATGTGCTTACAATACTTGTAACACAAACATTAACATTTAAAAGGAGTGTTTTTGATGAAGATGCACTGACACAAAGCAGTTTTAAGCAATCAGTTTTTCCAGGTGTAGCTGCTTTGAAGTCTCTTAATGGAAGCTTTTCTCTGTTTCAAAGTACTGTATCAATTCACAGTGATTTCAAATACACTCCATATATCTTTGAAGAACAAATGAAAGAAATTCAAGTTTCTTTGTCCATACTAATTTATTTCTAGTTATATATATATGGCAAAGAGACCAAAAACTTTGAAGACATCTTACTAAACCTGAAGAAGGAAGTGGTTAACACTCCTATTTTATAATACCTTTGTCAGGCTTTTTTTCTCCTTAACTCATACTCATTTCCACCTCCAAATGATGACTCAGTCACTTCTCATCTCTATAAAACACATATTTTCCTTACCTTTCTCAGTCATTAATAAAGGAATAGAAATCACCCCATTATGCAAGAAACAGTATTTACCCAGATACTTCTCCTCCACCTCCATCTTCTGCTTAAGCCTCAGCTGAAAGAACCAACATAACTACAAAAATAAGATCTACAGTTTTCAGGCAAAATTAAGATACCAGAATTTCTCAGAGTTTTGCAATGCTCTTGTTTTGGAGGAATGCAAATAAATATCAGCTTAGGGAATAAGTACCAATTTATCAGACTAGCAAAGGTCAAAAGCATTTTCATATGCAGAACAAAGTCATAAACTTTCAATCTGAGGTATAACAAAACAGCAATTTGTAATTTCAGCTGCAATTAAATGGAAAAAAAAGATAACTCCTTTTTTAATAAAAAGGTGTATTTTAAAAACTTACTGGTTCTACACAACACAGCTAATAGTCTCAATTTCCTCCTGTAAGAAGTGATTAGTGTTTTTTATTGTGTTTTCAGTACGCTACTTTTTTATTTTGGAGCTAGTTCAGAAAATTGTTATTTCTGAATTTGTGGGTCCTTATTCTGTCATCAGTCACTAACCTTGTATATTTCTAATGAAGTAAACAGCTAGTTATCTACTCTGTAAAATATTTCACATTCAGTACATACACCTTTAACCTCATGTACTGAAATCCATTACTGTTTGTTTGAGATGGCTTTTCCAGCACAGAGACCCACTTTCAACATTTTGACAAGTGACAGACAAGGATGAATGTGACAGAACTGCTTGTTTTTTCACAGTTAATGGGATACATTTTGTATTCTGCTAAAGAAGAGGTGAGTGAAGAGCAGAAGGGAAGATTGCTTTCACCCGTGGCAATGGCTGCCATGCTCCAGGATCTGTGCGTCCTGGTGGATGACAAGGTGACCACGAGCCCGCAGTGCCCTTATGGCCAGGAGGACCAATGGTACCCTGGGGTGCACAGGGAAGAATTTGACCAGAAGGTTGAGAGAGGTGTCTTCTCCCTCTGCTCAGGCCTAGTGAGGCCAAAACTGGAGTCTTGTGTTCAATTCTCCACAGTTCAAAAAAGACAAGGATCTGCTTGAAAGGGCCCAAGTAGCAAGTCCTACTAGGAAACCTGCTCCAGCATTGGCTCCTCTCTCCATGGATCTACAGGTCCCTTCCAGGAGCCTGATCCAGCATGGGCCTCCCACAGGGTCAAAACTTCCTCTCAGGCATCCACTTGCTCTGGCATGGGTCTCCTCCATGGGCTGCAGGGGCAGCTGCTTCACCATGCTCTGCACCATGGGCTGCAGGGGAATCTCAGCTCCAGCACCTGGAGCACCTCCTGCCCCTCCTTCTGCCCTGACCTTGGAGTCTGCAGAGCTGCTCCTCTCATATGTTCTCACACTGCTCTTCTTGGCTGCAATTACAACTATGCAGTAACTTTTTTTTTTTTTTCATTTTTTAATATGTTATCACATATTTCCATGTTACCACCATTTCTAATTGGCCCAGCTTTGACCAGCAGCACTTCCACCTTTGGAGCTGTCAGGGATTGGCCCTGTCAGACATGAAGAAAACTTCTGGCAGCTTCTCACAGAAGGCACCCCTGTAGGCTTTCTTGGGTCTTCTTGGGAGGCATCCAATATTTATATACATTGAAGAATGTTAGAGTGTATTCAGGCTTTTGAACCACTAATTAGTGGTTTGTCTCAGTCTCATCTGTTTCTGTTCAGAGCCAGGATTATTAGAAAGGCAATTGAGCTGGATTCTCATGTTCAGACTTGGATGTTTATTATATCTTATCAAAATTTACAGAAAGCATAGCAGCACTTCTAGCTGCTTGCTAGAAGTAAAAAAAATGGCTCTAAACTGAGCCTGTTTCAAGGCCTTTTAAAGCTAAACACCCCAATGGAAGTTTTACACGTATATCATGTATGCTTTTAACCCAATAATAGATTTCCATGACCCTTAGAGTGACTTTCAACTGACCAATCCAAAGGTAACTACCTAAGTTCCGTGAAGAAGAAGGAAGAGAAGATGAACAAGAAGAAAAGGCACCACCCAAAATTCTCCATCTTGTTCCCTAGCTACCACTACACTGTACAAACCTCAAATTTAAAACCCATCACCCAGTGAAAACACACATCTAACCAACTACACATTTATGATTTCTAACTTATTTGTACTAACAAATCTTCTCCAAGGTTTTAAGTCCAGTGCAGTGTTTTCCAGGGAGTCTCTGCCTGGAAGCACAGAGAGCTCAAAAACTCCAGTTTCCTGAGATCCAACTGAGGAAGTGTTAGCCAGACCTCTCAGTGGTGCCCACTGACAGAACAAGAGACAACAGGCACAAACTAAAACCAGGATATTCCATCTGAGCCCAAAAAATATGCATTTACTGTGAGGACAGTCAAACACTGGCACAGGCTGGCCAGAGAATCCCTATCCATGGAGATGCTCAAAACTGGACAGGATCTTGGGCAATACTCTCTGACGCCGCTTGAGAAGGGAGACTGAACTAAATGAGCTCAGGAGGTCCTCATCAACCTAATGACTCTGTGATTCTTACTTCCTTACACCTTGAAATTCAGTTCTTTGATAGGAACTGACTTAGTATATTTTTTCCTTCAGACTGAAGGCCTCACTTGGATTCAACTGCTCACATTTCCACACAAATCACTCTAATCAAATTATTAAATGCTCTCAAATAATGTGTTTGAAATGGCCTTAGTTCAATAAGTCACAGTACAATTTAATTTAAGAGCATTCCATGAATATACAAATCAAGAAACACATTGTACTCTGAGTCTTGGTGTTTGGAAAATGTCTAAAACACAGTCTCACCTCTATACAGTGCAAGTTCCATTATATCCATATGCTCAAGATCGCTCATGGATATTTATATACTTGAGATACATCTGAAAGAACACTGTGAACTTCTGCACTAAACATATGCAAAAGCTATGGCAATTTTATATGTAATATACATTGATATATCTGCACAGACAGATACAAACATGTGCAAAATTACACACAGTAACATTGATTATTCAGCAATTCATCAAAGATGTTATTTGATCTTTTAGCCTTTTTCAGTTAATTTCTCATTCTGCATCATTCAGACCTGCCTACAGACATTAGGATCATAGAGAACTGAAGAAAATAGAGGTCTTTGGCCTTGTATTAATCAGTTAATCGGCAGATTAAATGCAGATTCAATAAAAAATGACATTACTATCTTTGGTGACCTTCTCAGTATTTATCTCAGATCATGGTTTGGGTTTTTTTAATAAAAACAATGCATTTTAAGTCTCCTTAACTGATTTAATTGCATAATATATAGATTTACTTAGTAGTTTCTCACTTTCAGTCTAATCTTCTACAGCTTCTATTTGATCAATCATGGGAGAACCTCAGAAGGTTTTTCTTTATAGAGAAAGAGACCACACATTTCAAATCAATGATCCACAGAAAACACAAGAGGTATTTCTTATAAGGGAGAAAAGAAGGCAAAGAAGGAGGAAGCTTTTGTAATACATTTCCTCTGTTTAATCAGCAATAATGTATATAAGAAGCAAAATCCAAATTTAATCTTTTAATAGTGAAATTTAAAGATATAGGAATCCACATTTATAAGGAGATACATTTGATCAAGTCTTAAACTAGGATTTAACTAGAATTTTTGCAAAGTTACCCAAAGATTGGCAGGCTGATTCCTTCACTGCAGTGAAAAAAAATGGGAAACACTCTAAAATAATCACTAGAAGATGGATGACATCCATACAGAACAGTATTATAGACAAGGAATCTACTCTATGCAGCAGATTGTTTGTTTTTAATTACACAAATTATATGTGCAAAAAACTTAAGTTTAAACCTTAAATAACAAACATTCTGTCACACAACAGTCACATATGCAAACAACATAAAAACACACCTGGAAAAACACTGATACAAACTTACAAATTTCTTTTTTCACACATGGATACCAGAAAATACCTTTTTTCTTTTTTTAATACTGCTTTTACAAATGTCTTGTTATTCTAAAAATACCCTAAAAATGCACTTTGCCGACCACTTCCAAAAAACATTCTTCCTGCTTGATTTTTTTTAACATTTATTTAAATGTTCATGGAAAGAGAAAAAAATATTACCTTCAGACTCAGGAAACAAGTCTGAAAATATTCTCCTCACTGTATTTTATAAAGGCTATTTTATACCACTCACCAGTTTGCCACCAGTGGTCCAAGACAGGCACCTTGAAGACTCTTTTTGACCATTCTAGCGTGTCCACATCACAGTGCTCACCAGCTACAAACATCGCTCTGAACCTTTAAATAAAAATAAAGTCTGTATCTTGATCTGGATGTGGAAAGGAAAACCAGATAATGAATACAATAAATGTCTCTGGCCACTGTCCCAGATCAAAGGAAAAGACAAAGGAGGGCTTTTACTTTTTGTATTCTCCTTCCTACTAAGTAACAACTAGAATATTTGCAGTATTAATTTAAGATACTTAATACTTCATCATATAAAAGAAACTTTAATTGCTGAATGCAAAGACCTTGGGAGACCAGAGGCAAGCAACTGTAAGTTGAAATAAAAAATAACGAAATGCTCTGTACATGGTAACTAGGTAGCTATCTTTGTTAGCACTGCAGTACAATCTCCCACAGCAGATGCTGTCATTGACGTTTTGTTTCACTTTTTCCTCAGTGCATTTTGAATGAAGACAACTGCTGAACACAGGACTTCACTCTTGTCCTTCAAAAGTGGACACAATCTGCACTGATTTTGTAAAACCAGTAGACTTATGGCCACAAAACGAGAGAATTCTTATATATGGTAGGCATGACACAAATTTCACTTCAGAGGGATGTCATTTAGAAAGACTACGAGTTCCATCTTTCCATGGAAATAAAATCCAGAAAGCAAATTAGACAAACACAAGAACATATAAGACTTAGGGAAAAGTTATCTTGTTATCCTCTGAGCCAAAAGCAAAATTCCTCTCTTTTGAATTGCCAGCTTTAATAATCAGATTTCATAATTTGCAGGCTCAAGATCAACTTTATGTTACAAGAAGAAGAAAATTAGCTCTTGGGCAAACTTACAGGACAAAACCACCAAAAGAGTTATCAGAGCCAAGTGCCACAAGCCTAAGCATAAGAACTATGGAATTTTTTACTCCTCTCAAAACAGTATAGCAAAACAAGGGATGGCAACAGCTATGAAATGTCCCAGTGAACAATTTTTTAAAAAGCCCACTTAAAACTTCAAAGTGCATCATTCCACCTGTTACTGCAATCATCTATCCCTGCAACGCAGCTAACTGAGAAGAAAAGGCTTGAAGCTTCTCTGCTAAATAAATGTCCTCAGCTGTTCTGGAAACTTACATTCCTAACATGAAATTCAGCACAATCAAGATTTTAGGAGTCCAGCAGAATGGACTTCAAATATCACCTGACATATAGGAGACAGATCAATGTTCCTAATGGTCTTGAAGCAATAATTATTGTTCAACAGAGCACATGCATTTTAGTGTCACTCCAAGCACAGAAGAAACTACATCTCCAAACTATTTCCCAAGAGCTTAAATGTTCATATGGGTAATAATTTGAGCTTCACTTTTCCAAATTAAAAGATTTTGGAATAATTTTTTTATTTTTTTTAATTCTGGAATGCACACATCAGTTTGGGGGGCTGGGGGGAGCGGAGGGTCTGGCAAAGAAAAACTCTAACTGCATGATATTAAATAAGCTTTTTTCCTAAAAATACAGAAATGAAGATTAATTTGCACCTCTTAACATTAACTGGAAATAAAGAATTCTTACAAATTTTTAATGCACCTGGAGACCAAATACATACAACATATATATATACACATATATATTTGTTAATTTATTTAAACATGTACAATTAAAAAGAATATTTTCACATGTTCTGATTTGTCTCTATTGATGTGTTTATTCATTCATTCATGAACAGATTTTACCTTGAATATGAAAATCCAAGCATTGGAGGTTTTGGTGACAGAGTCAAGAGAGACACAGAGCACAGCTGCAGCTCGGCTCCAAAAAGGCTCTTCATGACCACAGCTCAGGACTCCACCCAGAAGGGCCATGTATGATCAACAGCAGCAAAGTAAGGGGCAGCAGGCAGAACTGCATTATGTACCTCAACTGTTATAAATTCTGGGTCTTTATCACATATCCTCTTAGCAGCATGTGTGAAATGTCAATTCTATGAGAAAATACGTCCTTCTAACAGTTTTTAATTTGCTACTTTAATTTGACATCCTCTTGTTCCTGCATTATGAGACAGATAATGGAAGTTTCTTATCTGCTTTATATTCATTATTTCTGAACAGTTTTTATGCAGTCTCATATTTCTTTCTAAAGTCCATTATTATCCAGTACCAGATGAACAACCCAGAATCTCTAAATGCTCTTGATATAAAATTGCAGAATATTCTTAACTGACCAAAAGTCAAGCAAGCAAAGTAGACTAGGAGGCACAAATAGCAAATTATTACTTGTACGTTAATCTAAACTGCTGAGTTGTTGCCCCATTTCATGCAAAAACCATCATTTGTCAATTGTTTGGAAATCAGAACAATCCAGCTCACAATTATGTCAATTATAGGATGAAGTGCGATTCCAAATATGGGAAGAGTTAACGGCTTGGTATTATGGAGGTACCTTCTGAAGAGGAGAATGGATTCAAAGAACTGAACAGAATATTCTTGGACAGACGAAGCTCACGGAATTTGGATGTTACTTGTTTATTGAACACAATAGGTAGCAATGCTCAACAGCATTGCATGTTATCAAAAGTTATGTCTTTATATCTCTATAAATATGTGGTTGAACACTGCTTTTGACCTACAGTATTAAAAACTAAACATGTGTTTTACTGTTAGGCATGAGCTGTGTTTAAGACATGGGCGACATTTTGTGTCAAAAGCAAAGAAATTTCAACGAGCAAAGATTTTTTAGATCTTTACTGGAGCAAAGATTTGACTCCTGTAGACACAAGGATTTTAAAGCATACATACTAGAGCTTTTGAAAACCTCATATATAATTTTGCACAGAGGCCAGTGATGCCACAAACATCAGCTCTTAACAGAAATTTATTTAACTTATATCATTTCAAAAGAACCTAAGTTTGTTTATAATTCAATTTACTCATGTAAATCAAATACTCCCTTATGTATGGAAGCTGTCATTGTTTACCACCTCTTTATCAGTAACTGTCTTTTTTAATGTGATTTTTTTTTTTAAGTGATATTGACCATTACCATTTATTTAGCAGAACTTTTCAGAAATAAAATGTACCATGGTGGAAACCTCTTTCAGGACTGCATTCCTGGATGCAGTCTCTAAAGTAAGGATCTATTGTAGCACATGTAGCAGAAAGACATTTCAAACATTCTTCACCATGTAACAAAGAAGAAAGCACCATGGATGAAGTAAATGAACTAAAAGTAAGACTGCTTTCAAACTGAATCAGACAGAATTCACTTTACCTTGAATAGCGAAGTCTATCCAAGTAACACCCAAGCCCAAGTATTTTCCTAGAATGGCAATTTTAATCACCTGATAGACTGTCTTAACAACTGTACCTACCAGATATTAAATGATGCATTAGAGGGTTTAGTAAAGAGACAGCACATCTCAGTGAATGACATGGTCCAAAGCTGAGTGAACTATGAATTATGAGACAACTAAAGCTGCAGACAAGTGGAGAAGCTTATTTGATATGACCCAATAGGAATGATTAAACATCTCTTTACATCTGTGGCAACTGATACTTCAAGGAGACTCTTACCTAGAATTCTCATTTGCCCAGAGAATGAGACAACTTAGAAAGCAGGTTAGCAGCTTTCCCACTGAATGAATACTCTAAAGACAAAGTAATTGCCTAAGAAGTGCCAAGGAACAGCAATTAAATTTTCTAGCCTCTGAATTACTTTCTTGTCAATAAACATCATAGGACAATAGCGCATTAGTGTCTCAAATGAGCTTGTTTCTTATTTCAAAGAGGAGTAAGGATTGATGATAGCAGTCAAAACAGATGGAAGAAAGTAATGATAAGCTTGTAATGAATACCTCAGGAATAAACCCAGCTTCCTAATAATAAACTTGAGCAATTAAAAATGTGGAAGTCTAATGAAGCTACATGGCTTTGCATCTTCCCCTCCTCTTTGAAAAAGGATGATAATAGATGTACTTGTGAGTGAATACTGCCTATATAGTCTGACACAGTCCCTGTGTGATGCTGAGCAAATCATTCAACTTCAATATTAGATGTGGTCCAAACCCATGTATTTTTCATTTTTAGAATGTTTACCATGAGATACAGAAACTTGGTCTGTAGAAGTATTAAACATTCACACATCGAAGTTACTGTGAGAAGCATTTCATAAATATAATGCTCATACCACATTTTAACCATATAATACTACAATCTTTGAAACAGTGGTATTTCAGTGGCTCAGACTAGATATTCAAAACTAACAGAAGACTCTGACCTTAATCTCCCTGTGTCTCAGCTTCCCACCTACAAAATACAGATAATACCACTCTCTCACTTCACAGGGGATTTATGAGGACGAACCCAGACAAGACTTTGGAGCAAGCTGATAGTATAGTAACAAACTCCTTAAAAGCAGCAAACAGATCTTTGGACACATAATCATAAACAGTAACAAAGTTTTGGGGAGCAGACAAAACATTGACTATCTTCTGATTAAACGAACACTAAAGATCCTGTGCACTTAACAGAATGAGAAGTCATGTGGAAAAACAGTATTGGTTGACATAATCCAAGACTGTATTACCGAGTATAAGCACTGGGGAGTAAAGTAAAAGATGGGAGAGGAATCACTCAGTAAAAGTTCTTAACATTAGAGTCTCAGACTTTTTAACAGCTTTCACGTCCTCAAAACTATCAGTAGAAATTTACAAGCAAATATGCGTACACCTAAATTTTCAATAATAGATTAAAATGACACTCTACAGAGGTGGGCAAAACTCCAGATACTCTGTTATTCTTAGTTCATGCAGCCTGTTTCTGGAAAAAAATGCTTCCAATGTATCCTTACTTCACCTTTTCAGTGAGTACTGCTTTCCCAGGGCTGCCTCAGGGTCCTGCTGACGGATTGCTCTAATTGCAGTTGGTGAAGTAAAGAAGGCAGCTACTTCATGCTCTGCTAGCACACGGAAATAGGCACCAGCATCTGGCGTTCCCACAGGCTTCCCCTATGGAGAGAATAATTTAAAATGTCACAGGATAAAAATACCTCATAATTCCTTGACAGTTCAAGGCTTGAGCACGTAACAGTAGTGGTAACACAGCAACAGAAGTAATTTCAAGTAATACTTCAAAGGAGGCTTTGTTAAAAATAATAATACTGTGAGTGTATTCACTTGTAGAAATAAATTCATGAGCTTTGGGAACCATCCCTTACATGAACACAGCACATACTAGTTACTACTTAGAAAATCAGGACAAATGGACTTGCAAATGAAAAGACACAAACAAAGATACGTTATTGCTGCGTTATTGCACTGGTAGCAGAGTGAGTCATGCATCTTCCCTGAGATGCAGCTCAGAAAACACCCGCACTCCCTCTGAACAAGGAGTCTCTGGACACAGTGGCAATACAGCTATATCCCCATGCACAGACAGCTTTTTCTTACCTAGACACTTTTTCAAATCTGGAAAAATTTCCACTTAGCTGCATACAAGTAGCTTTTTTGAACCTTCATGCTACCCCACGTGAAGCCTGGAGAGATGCTGAAGGGCCCCATTCTGTTTTAGTGTGCTACCAGACTGTCGTCTGGTTTGGGGTTGGGTTTTTCTTGAGCTAAGGGGCATAGTCAAGAGAATTGTAAACAGAAGTAATCATATATGACAAATTGTTCAATGCTAAGTAATCCTAAGAAAAGCAATCAAGAATTTTCTGTGATGTTGAAAATACGAAAAGCAGTCAGCACAGAATCATAGTCATGATCTTAATGTATGTGTAATTACCACAGTGCATGAACTGCTCCATATTCTGAAATTAAAAGGTGATGTTAATGAAGAATGAGCTTTAGATCCACTGGTATCACTATAACCTTTTCACTAGAAAGGCCCACATGTAGAAGATGAACTTTAACAGAGTATGCAAGTCGAGAGATGCACACTTTTCCTACTGCATCCAGCTGCACCTGATCACTAGCAAGAGCACTGGTGAACTATTAATCAGATTCAAAGAACACAAGAAAGGCAAGGCTGCAAACCACTGGTTTTGCAGCCCTATGGTGAGATACTGCTCCTGCTGAGAGGCATTTTCAAAAAGAGGAGCACCATAAAAGATTTTTTTAAAAAGACAAAATAGAATGCACAATTGAAAAAACATTTTTTAAAAAGGATTAAGCAGGCAGTGAGAAACATATTGAGAGAAAATAAATGAAAAAGAACAGTTCTCAGCCCAAGTAGTAGAGAATAGTATAAACAACATCAAAATCCCTCTTTTTGCAATTAGCCTATCCTTAATTACCAAAAAGAAATGCAAAATCATGCTAGCCGAAAAAGTGAGTTACATCCTTTTTCCTTTCATATAACACACAGTACCCGAAGAAAAATCTTTCACCAGACTGTCTTGAAGCATCACCCTAGCAGACTTCTTCATCACAATTTTCATGTGTTCATCAGTATTTGCTCATGAACCTGATTGCTCAAGTTGACACTTTCTCCCTGTAACGTTCAGTATACCTGAAGATCTGTAGGAACATGGCTAAAAGTTCAAGCCCACATCACCAATGCTAAAACAAATGGCCTCTGAAAAACGCCAAATCGCCACAAGCTTCCCATTAAGTAATTATCATCATGGACAATCAAAACACCTAGCTGTGAAGCAAGCTGAAATTGGTCAGTCTGACAGTAATAAAGTAGGCTGTTACTTTTAACCACATATAAATATCCAGACCCCTTAAAAGGGCTTTGTCTGGCCCTAAGCACACCCACTCCCTCCCAGATCCCAATTCACACCTGATCTCTGCCTGTGCTATGTCAGACATGTCTCTGCCTCAAACTTCCAGCTAGCCTGAGCCTGACAGTATCTTCCACAAACTGTTAAACTTTCAGGAGTGCTTGGGTAAACATGCAGGACTCTGACAGATGGATATTTATGTCACAGGTAAGCTTAAAGCAGTTTAGGTTTAGTGTTACCAGTCCCAGATATAGGAGAAAACCAAATAAAACACAATCAGTAGAAAGGGGAGAAAATTCACCCGACAGTTGAGAGGAAATATAACCCACAAAATAAGACATTCATTTAGGAAAAAAAAATCTGGCACAGGTGTAAAATATTCTTACTGGTTCTGCAGAAAAACTTCCCAAGTGTCTTGGAAGCTATTCAAGTTTAGCAAATGCATAAACAAAAATAGACATAATGTGTGAGACTGAAATGGTTAATGGGTCAAACATTTTAAGATCACTGAAGGACTTTGCCCACTGTAGCAAAGTGTGCAAAGAAGCTCATCTGTGACCACCAAAGCTCATCCCTCCAAATACGCCTCCTAATGGGAATTTGGACTGTGAGTTAAACCACCTGACAGGGAACTTGAGATAAGATAAAGGTGGCACTACTGTCCAATTACCTCAGGTCTGAGGAGAAGTAAACAGGGCTAGGAAAGAAGAACGCATCCAAGAGGGAGGAGGTGGGGTTTTTGGGAGTGTGATGGCAAAACCTCTGGTCCACACAAGACAGAGTGAACATCCACCACCATGGGACAATCACGTGAGAGGCAGCTCTCATGTCTTAGAAGGGGTCTTAAACCATCACAGACCCCCAAATTTCCCCAGACTCATTCCTCAAGCCTTCTACCAGAGGACTGCAAGTGATTTTCAAAGTTTTGCCACAGATTCAGATTCTGCTGCCTAAGACAGTGTAAACCTCCCTCATAGGGGAGGTGCTTGGGCATTCCCATGTACACCTGAATGCATATTAATACCCATTGAATACTATGTTTCATGGGACATGCACCACAGAGAAGACCAGAAGAAGAGGACCAACAGGATGCCACCAGATCCACAAGGGTGGTGACTAACTTTCCCCTTAATCTGTCTCTCTTTTCTTCCCCCCCTCTTTGCTTTATTTCTTTCTATCTTTCTCTCTACTGCACATTTACTGATAAATAAAATCCATACTATTGACTTTGACATATGGTCTTGTTTGCACCTTAATTAATCTCTCTAATAATCAGATTGTAACACATAAGCAAAACATATCTGAGACAGTGCAAATTAATTTCAGAGCCCAAAACCTACAAATAAAATTGCCAGAGAAAGTAGTCATTTATTATACAAAAATTTTAAGAAGTACTACGATATTCCATAAAGGCTCATTACCACATGCAATTTTTTTATTTTTAAAAGTTAACAATATGAACAATAAACCACAGGGTTAATTGAATTCACAATATGTTTACAGACTGCTGAGTCAATTGGGGACTCGGCAAATGAGATACTTCCACTGGATTTCAGCAAGGACCAGTTCGAGACCTGCTGCTATTCAGTATTCACATCAAAACTGGAGATGAATATTATTTTTAAAAGTTACTGGCAATAATATCTATGCTTGACAGGAAATGAGAGCACAGTAAATGGGAACAAGGCAGTAGAAAGAGAGTGATCTCTCTCACCTAACTTAAAAGAGTAAAGTAAGAACAGACACTTCTTGTATCAGCTAAGAAGATTCCCACAGAAAACTCCTACCAAGAGACTCAGAGACAGACAAACAGACAGGAACATCTTTTTGGAAGCACTTAGATTTAGCATGCAATTTATGAGATGTTGAAGAGCTGAGCAGACAACCTGAGGCAAAATGTTCTGTTGATTTATGATTTCATACATGATTATCAAAAAAGATTCACAGATACCAAGAATTATCAAGGGGATAAGAAAGCTCTTATACAGAGCAAGTGAGAAGCCATGAGGATACATTACTTGAGGAAATAGACACAGAAGAAGAGCTATAATAAAATGTCCAACAATGCAGGAGCAAGACTGCATCGATTCCCTTTCTGTCTGAGCCTCTAACAACAATGGGCTCTTCAATTACCACTAAATCCAAAATTATGAGGAAATTCTCTCTGTAGAGAAAATGTAGTGCATGGAACTCTGCCACTAAAACCTGCTGATGCCGAAGCACACACAAAATCCTTATGTACCAGGATTCAGAAGAATGCTCACAGAGGCATTCATCCTTCTGATGGTGACCCTGCTGCCAAAGCTCTACTAAAGACTTGAGATGATATGTCCTACTGAATTCATTGCACCATCAGTATGGATGATGGCAAAGTGATCCCTGCCAGACTTGAGAAACAATGTTTGCTTTGTAAACTGATGATACTGGCTTACAAAAACAGCAAGGTAAGCTGGATGTGTCCAAGAACTGTGCCAAAAAAAGGGTAATTTCAAGCCTGTTTCTCTTACATATTCTGCAAATCTGCTGCAATTACAGGACTCCAGTGAGCCTTGTGAGAGATTCCAGGCACACAGATGTCTTGCTACAGTTCTGTGTGGGACAGTAGCTCCTTCTCTGACCTAGACCACTCAAAGTCCTTAATGCCTGGTTCTTCACAAGTGTGAGTATCCTATTCCTTACCCTAGCTCCAGTGCAAAGTCTCAAACACTGGAACTACAATGCTGCCTTTTTTCTGACATCACAGGACCACAAGTAGTAACTAGACTCTCTCTTTATACTGTCCTGTTGCTTACAGCTTGAAACCCCATTAGCAAGAGCAACAGAGTGGTCTGTGAGACTTCAGGTAGCTTATTTGTTGCTGAAGTTTGTCATGTTTTGGAGAAAAAGAAACAGGACAGATTATTTAAAACAAACAAACTTGTTTTTGTAGTCAAAATAATTCATCATCATTTTCGCATTCCTGACAATGGTGTAACAGCAAGTGAAAACTAAAAGCATAGTTTCCATAGTAATTGTTAAAATGACAAGTTGTCACCTAAGTAATTTAAAAATAAACAAAACACTTGAAGTAGTGAGGGTATGAAGTCAGCACAGTTTACATTCAATAGTGGTTGCCCACAAGCAAAAGGAATGTGATGTTCTTCCCTTATAGCTAAACAGCACACTGATACTCCCTAACTCAAAATATATAATTAGGCAACCATTTAGGAGATTTGACCAAAAATTTCTGAATATTTACTATTAATACAGTCTGCTGAGCAGAGGAAAAATGATGCACTATTCTCTTCATAAATTACTTTTATTCCTTTGTGCATAGACCTTCCTTTTCTTCCCATTATTAACTTTCAAAAAGATGACATTTATGCCATTAAAATTGTCTAAGCCTTGATTAGTGGCATCTTGGAGAAGAAAAATGGGAAATGTACTATTTCTATTTAATAATGATCTCACCAAGAGCAAAAAATCACAAAACAGGTATGTAAGTCAATCTGATATTAACTCTAATTTTGCTTTATGTTCACTTTTTAAAAAGTAGGATTTTTACTCCTTCTGTTTTGTAATAGTTTAAACTCAGAGGTACCTTTACAATGACAATAATCACATCAATCCCAATGCATTCACTTCTGACAATTCATGCAACAATTTTAATGTGGCCTGGCACATCATCAGTGCTCAAACAGAGTCAGAATAAATCTACCAAAATCTTTTTATTATCTGCAAGCACTTGCCAATTTTCTTACACTGCTTCCTCTTCTACTTAACTATTGCAGTGGTGTTGAGTTTTAATCCCCTTAGCACGAAGAATCTAATTAACATCTATTAGGCACTTAAACATTAATTAGACTATAGTAATTTAATACTCAAGCTAATACAATATTTGAGTCTACAAATATGCATTTCTGCTACTGGGTGATGTTCTTGCTATTTCTTATTCAGTAAAATCAACAATAAACTGAAAAAAATAACAATGTAAGACAGCATTATTACTTTTTTTGAGCAGCAAAGTAAGGATGCTGCAGGCCACTCTAATTGGACTAGTCTCCTCTCCACCCCACTAGGTTTCAACCCCAGAAGGAAAGGACTAAGCTCCAAATGTCATCTGAGTCTTGGGTTCAGTTTCCTTGAGTGGTAGAGAAGAAAGAAGGGACAAGTCTCCTTAGCAGAAGTTCTGGTTCCAACCACACAGCTCTCTCAGTAAGTATTTTTCATCACAAGATATACAAAACACAACACCCTCTCCTAATTCCAAAATAAAAGTAGTCTAATCAATAACACAGGTACACTCCACCATTTGCCTTTTCTAGTTCTGTTGTTTCAGAGTTCTTTACGCTGCAAACCATCACCCTTCACACAAATGTAGAACAGTTTAGTAAGTTTTCCTTAAAAATTACTGTAATAGGTGGGACAGTATAAACACTGAAGACACACATAATTTAAGTATCTGCAGCATGAAGAACAGACAAGCATAGATAAGATCATCTGGATCATCAGCTGTCATTTCCAAGGGGGGTTTATTAGACTGGATCATACCTCATACAAAACTGTAGTATTACCATGAAGGAGAGGTCCATAGCAAATGTAGGAATGACCAACAACCCAGCCTAAATCAGAAGCTGCCCACCATACCTAAAATGAAATATAAACAGAATTATAGTTAGAGGTTTTATAAGGCATTCATAAACATTTACAGGACATTTAAATAGAATTACCTCACCAGGTTTGAGGCCATATACAGCTGACATGGTCCAGTTAAGCATAACTGCATAGCCTCCTGTTGGTCTCACAACACCCTAAATGAGAAAATTTGAGTATTTAAGTATTTATGATTAGGATTTGAAGGATACAATCATATTGCTCTCTTCAATTAAATATTAAGGTTTTAGCAGCAATGGAATTAAAGTTGTCCAACTCCAATACTTCTCAGTTAAGAAATTATCTATTCCAATAAGAACATACTAACACTTCCACTAAAGAAGTAATTTTGGAAAACAGAAACCAAACATACAATAAAACAAACAATCAGAAGATAACTAACAAAGCTAAAATTCTCTCATTAAAGTTGGATATCCAAACAGTCAATATATGCTGACAAAAAAATAAGAGATTAAGTATTTATCTCACTGAAACTGTACTATCTAAATGCTAGGCATATTTTAAACTCCCTGCCTACTCTATCTGTATCATCTTCGCACCTGCAAAGCAGATGATCCCTGAAAAAACGGGGGTGAATTACCCCCTGAAATGTCCCTTTCTGCCCTGACTCTTTTTAAAGATGTCAGAAAATTGGCTTAAACCAACGGATATTCTTTAAAATTTACTATCTAGCCTGAAGCACACATATGAATGCTAAATGAATACCACCCCAGTCTTCCGCTAAAAGAGGGATTTGAAAATTAGAATGAGAGATTATCAACAGCATCATGTGCCTTGGTAAACCAAAAACCAGCACAGAACATTATTAACAGGAAACTTTTGGACATATTTTGCAATATTAGTATGGTCAATATATAGTTCATCACCTTCTAGCACATTATTCCTAGAAGAAAGAATTAAGTAAACTATGTCCTGGTGTCCTGAACTAAAATTCAGATGAAATCCACTGGACCAAACAAATATGCACTGCACAGACATTACAATGCAGCTGTCTGTCTGTGCTAGGCATGGTACATTCTCTTGATGTACTTAATAGAATGGAACAGGCACTTTCAGGCCTCATCCAAGAAATGAGGGACTGCAGAGATACATTAACTCATTAAAATGGAGATTGCTATGGCAGAGAATGATTTACAAACACTTCACCAATTTCAGATAGCAGACTGCCTTTGTTCGACTCAGCTTCTAACTTAGCCTCTGCTCTGAACTCAACAAGTTTTTTAGGAAGGTCATAACCAAGTAGTTTTACCTGCATGACCATTTAAATTAAGTTACTTGAATAAATAAAAATATTATTTTATTCACTGAGAGTTACTTACTGTAGCTTACTGTTAGCTGAAAATCTCTCTCCTGAGGGTAATTGATTCAAGGTATCTATATTTTTCTCTGCACAAACATCACAGTGAAATAAACTTCTGAGAACTATTACCTCTGAGATTCTCTATTGATATTCAGTCAAGGATAATACCTGTTGTAACAAAGGATCTTATCTTGGGTTTTTTGACAATGTAACTGTATGATTTAGGATACATATGTTGCTTTCAAGGTAAAAGCAGAAGACATTTTTCTCAGCAAAAGTGCTGTTTGTTTTCCCTTACGTCCTAAGAGATTCTGAACTTTATAGGCAACACCATTAAATAATTTTTTAGCAGTACAGCTGGTCTCTCCAGGATGCATGATACTGTCTAAATCAGTGGTGGTAAGACTATCACCAGAAAATCATATTCAGCTTGTCTTCCATGTTGTTAAAGAGCACTGTAAGTACCAAGCAAACACTCAGAGAGTTCACTTTTAAAATACAATCATTTAAAAATACGTAGTTAAAACTAATCTACATTCAAAACCAAACATTTCCAAAGAATACCCTTTTTTAATTTTCACTTTATCTAAACTTCTATTTCCAGGGTATTATGTACCCAGAAATGTGCGGTAACACAAGCGTTCAGAACATGCTTTATTTCATGTAATCTGTAATGCCATTCACCATGTCTTATCTACAAGAAAATTAGCTAATATGTAAATAATGAACAAGATTAGTCAGCAATAAATGCTATCACACAAGTGATATATTAACCGGTCTTGTCATTAAGTGACATGCTATGCTTATCTAAGAAAGTAAAACACAGAAGATAGTACTGAATAAAAGATATTTTGCTATCTTCAAAAGTTTATTTTTGTACAAATAATTGAAAAAATGCATCTTATCTTTATATTACTACTATTTAGATTTT